GTGAAAGCTAAATTCGAAGCTATGAAGGATGAATATCTTTCCGTGATTCTCGAGTTAATAGTTCATCCGCCAAAATTTTCACGATGCCGTAGGTGGTACCCGAGAGCGCGAAAACATTGAATTTGAATATGCAACGTTGAGCGTGGGCAGGAGGTCATTACCTAAAACTTCAGCCTCCTAGACTCCGTGGTTCCCGAGATATTAACTTACCCGTGAATAGCTTTCACGGGGCCGTGCATGTTACCCGCGGGTAAAGGAAGGTTGAACTTGAATGGGCAAGGCTGAGCGTGGGCAGGAGGTCATCACCCTAAAATTTCAGCCTCCTAAACCCTGTGGTTCCTGAGATATTAATATACCCGTAAAAAACTTTCCCGGGGCAGTACGCGTTACCCGCGGGTAAGGGGAGGCTGAATTTGAATTTGCCGCATCATCCGCTGGTGGGGAACACTATATCAAAATTTCAGCCGCCTAGTTTTTGTGGTTCCTGAGTTGAAAGTGCGGGACGAAATGTGGGACACACACACATATACACAAACACATACACGCACAGACAACCCCGTGACAATATGCGTTTTGTATGCTGTTACACAGCACAAAACGCATAAAAAAAGGAGCTGAAAATTCTTCCATTTGCTGGAGCACACTTTGGTGAAATTTACACCTCGAATTTGATGAGCACTTATATAGAAAAAAAAAAAAAACACTGACCTCAATTACTTCAAATGAAATTTCTTTTTCTGACAATCGGCTCATCGCAAGTTTTGTGTTTGGTCCATAATCATCGCTAACAATAAGATTCATATTTTGGGCCTGCAAAATAATACATGTACTCCCGAAGCATCTGGAGCCAAATACGTTCAAAGTGATTCATGAAGCTCTCTGGTAACATACACTTTGTCCATCATATCTGTCCGTAAATTTAGTTTTAACAGGTTCATTTCCGTGCGTGGACACACGTATGGCCCTGCGGTAGTCTTGGCGAGAAAAATTATTATCTTAAGAATCACAAGAGCCAAAAAGTCGAAATTGTAGAAGAATGTCTGATGTTGACGTGCGACCGATTTAAATTCAGCAAATCTAAATTCAGCTTTCACGTACGCCTAGGTGCCACAGAGAGCGACATGGAAGTTTTTGCAAAAAAACTTGTTGAGGATGTTTTCTGCCCACGCAACGGCTTCGCAAACTCGAATTTAGCTTTCACGCTTGCCTAGGTCTCATGAACTGCCACGTGAAAGTTTTGGCGCGAAAGCCACTAATTCAGAAGCCAGAAAACTGGGAAACTGAAATTTTGGAAGGATGTCCCCCGTCTATGTGCAAAACGAAGGTTTCGAATTCAACTTTTATGTATGTTTATTATTCATTACGTGGTATTTTCAATGGGAAATTCATGCAGGAAACAGGCAACATATCGACTATTTTTGCACACAACAAACATGATTAGATTAGATGGGCGTCTTACCAATTAGAGGTGCTGCGGACCACAGAGTCACGAAAAAATTTTGTGTTCATCATCATGAGCTTTTTTTAAGGAAAAAAAAGAACCTCTTCCGACTCCTCTTCTTCGTCATCATGCTGCTCCCTGTCACGTCTTCGTCTGGCGTCAAATGCTGGTGGCAAAAAACGAAGCATTTGCACAATATCTTCCAGGAAGTAATCTTAAATAGATAAAAATTTATTTTTATCTTTGACAAGCCCGATTTTCTTCCCGCTTTTTTCTCTCCCACTTTCTCTCTCAGTGAGTTTAAGCCCAGAATTACTGTGTATTCGAATTAGTAACAAACCAGTGAAAAATTTCAATGCCGCTAGCGAATATTTGGGGTTACTGTACTTTACAGTATATCGTAAATTACGGTGATTTGAGGCATTGTAGCTTATCGTAATCTTCAATATATTGTGTGGAAAAATGAAGGTCGTACGGTGCGAAAGTATCAATGTTTCTAGATTTAACTGCTACATTTCTCATAACCGACTGTTTTTCCAATGCAACATTTTTCTTAAAAAGCACAATCACAGCAATACCATGTCATTGTATCCTGAGCTGCATGTTCAAATTTGCCCTGCTAGTGACATTTCCCTTTCATCGTTGATTATATTAAAAATTCATTTACAACAACAACAATACCGAATATTAATATTCAGTACTACTTATCAACTAAGGCTACAAGGAATTGGAAAAAAAAATCTAAACATACGCTGGACAGGAAAAGTGCGTCCTTCAAGCTGAATCACCGGACAACCACCAAAATAATTGGTGAACAGATTTGTATCGATGGTTGCAGACATC